CCCGTCTCTGCTTCTCTCTCTCTCTCTCTGCTTGGCTGCCTTCCGAATAAATTCATCTTTTTAAACTCAAGACATTCTATTCCCACCTCACTGCCCCGACACCTGACAACATCGGCTACCCACGGTCGACCGCGGTCTGCAGACCTGGCACAGCCGACTCCGGGCGTGCATAATTCACAAGTTTCACACGATCTTTACAACGGTGAGTTCCCGCGCCGTCCTCTCGCATTGCTAGCTACTCAGGCGCCGCTGTAGCTGAGTTACAAACCACAACCAACACACCCAGCACTGCACCCAGCGGGCTGGGGACTGTCCCTGGCGAGGGGCAGCGACCACGTCCAGTCCCTGACGCCCCAGATTCTGCTCCAGGCCGGAGCCAAGTCTGCACCGTGCCCCAAAGTCCCGGTCCCCGGACCTCCTGTCGCCCAGGCCACCGTGCCTCGCCGCCCCTGACCGCTGTGTTCCTGCCGCCCTGTCCTGGCCCTCTGGGGCCGTCCCCTGCCCCCGCGCCGCCTAGGCAGTCACCTGCCTGCTCCACGCGCTGCCCTGCCCCGCCCGCAAGCCCCAGAGACTGCGCCTCCCTTTCAGGGCGGCCAGAGGCCCCAGCCAAGGCGGCTCTGCTCGGACCTGTGGCCCTCCCAGGACCGGGTGAGAAGCCAGACAAAGGGAGCTGAAGAAGGCAGGCAGCCAGGTGGCCAGTGAGCCCTGCTGGGCCCCTTGACCATCATGCCAACGACCAGCGCCTGGCACTAACGCAGCGCGAAGCCTGGTGTGGCACCATCACCCCCATTTTACAGGTGGGGAAACTGAGACCAGGGCCAGGCAGCTTCACATGGGCGCCCTGGGGTCTTCCACAAAGAAGCTCCTCCCCTACCTCTCACTCCATGAGAGCCCAATGGGGGAGGCTTGGCCGGCCGGGAAGGTGCGGGTCAAGGTCATGTAACAGCCACCCTCCCCCAGCCCTGGCCACTGATGCAGGCGCCACACTGACCCACTTTCTCCAGCCAGGACCCCAAGGCACAGGCGGGGCCAGTCCATGTCCAAGGTCAGGGGACTGGAACCCAGGCCTGCTGTGTCCTGAGCCCGGGGCTCCTCCAGGAGGCTGGGAGGGGAAGAGATCCCCGTCGAGATAAGGCCTGGCGGATGCACCCTGCTGCTGGGTGGTCCCAGGGGAGGGGGCAGCATGCGGGATGCGGCCTCTCTGAAGGCGTCGGGGCCGAAGGACCCCTGCAAAGGGGCGGTGGGTGACGAAGCCCCCAAGGGACGGGGGTGGGAGCTAAACTTGGCTGGCATCACCAGCTGGCCCGGTCCCCCCCAAGCCTGGCTGGCACCCCAACACAGCACCCTGTTGCTAGGAAACCTGGAGAGGGTGGCCCCCTGGTGGGGAGCCCTGGGACTAGGGGTGGGGAGCAGGACCCCACACAGCTGTCACCATGGTAACCAGGTAGCCGGGAGAGGGCTGCAACCTCAGGTTCTAGAGATACTCAGGTGAGCCCAGTACGGTCAACAAGCAAACCTCAGCCGCCCGGGCTGGAGGGGAGTGACCGTGTCGGTCATCCCAGGGCCCCGCTGGCCCTGGGCACACCGCTCGGCCACAGCTGGAGGAAGTCCCAGCGGGAGTCCCATTTCACAGACAGGAACACTGAGGCTGAGAGCAGAGGTCCCACCGCTGGGGAGGGACAAGAACTCGGCGTGGCCCCAGTGTCTCTGAGTAATCAGAGCGGTAATAACAGAGTGAGAGCAGGGCCTGGCCGTGTGCTTCCTGCTCCCACGAGCTCCCGAAACCGGCCAGGGAGGCGCTGAGAGCCCCGCTCACGGCCGAGGACACTGGGCCCCTGACTCACCGCTGCGGGCCGGGCTCCACCCACACCAGGGCACAGGTGGGCCCCTCGTGGCCCCGATCTGAGGACTCCAGGTGCCGTGGTGGCTGGGGAGGGGGGCAGGAGGGGCTCCCAGGCGACCCCAAGGCGGAGATGTGGCCATGGTGACAGCGGAGCAGGAGGGGCAGACACGGGCAGGGGTCTGGGCTAAGGGGTGCGGGGAGGGGGGGGCAGAGACCTAGCAGAGGCTGGGGAGGAGCCTGGGACTGCTTGTGGGCAGGGCTGCAGAGGAGGGACCTGCGGGGGGGCAGTGCCTCCACCAGGGGGGCTCTGGGTCCTGGAGGAGGAAGGGGCGGCCCAGGGCTCCGCACCTGCCGGGCCACACATCTGGGCAGAAGGCTCCCAGCACACTGACCCCATGAGCAGCTGCCCAAAGCCGAGGCACACAGGTCCACCCAGGAGTCTTCTGGAAGCAGGACCTGGAGCCGGGCCTTGCAGCTGGGGACGGCCCAGCAGTCGGACACCCCCGCCCCCGCAGGGCACGGGGAGCCCTGGGCGCAGGAGGCGTTGGGGGTCTACCAGGAAGGGCAGGCCAGGGTGTTGGGGGGGGCGCCTGCCCAGAGCTGACAGGGAGGACAAGGCCAGGGTCAGGCCGGTCCAGGGCCTAGAAACCCGAGCCGGGGCTGGGGGCCTGGAAGTTGGAGGCCAAGGCTTCTTGGGAGAGGAGGAGGCCAGAGAGGGTCCCGGGGCGCTGGGAACCCGGGCACGGGGCTGCTCGGAGGCCGGGCACCAGGCCTGGGCGTGGAGGCACCTTGAAGATGCCAAACAGGGCCGTGGGCCGCGGCGAGGTGGGGACCACCCCTCTTGTGAGGGGCTGGCCCCCGGCCGCCGGCCAAGGGGCAAAGCGCAGAGCCAGCACCCAGACCGGGGAGGCCAGAGCCCAGAGCCCGGGCAGCACAGAGCCAGGCCCCGCCAGCACAGGCCGGCCCTGGGCGGGGGTCCGCGAAGGGGCGAGTTGTGGGCGCCGCCGGCCCGAGGGGGAGACGGCTCCGAGCACGCCAGGGAAGGGAGGGGCTCCCGGCGGGCCAGGGAGGGGGCTTCCTGGAGCGAAATGCCCCGAGCGGAAGCCGTCCGCAGAGGGGGCGAGGAGGGGTCCCGGGAGAGGGGCGCCCCGGGCGTGGGCCCGGGACGAGAGGCCTGCAGGTCCGGGACAAGGCCGGGTCGGGGTCGGCGCGGCGCCGGGCTCGGCGGCCGGACCCAGCCAGCGTCCCCAAGGGGCCGGGCCCCACTCACCGTGTCCGAGGTCCGATCGTTGGCCGGGGCCAGCGCCGTCCGGGAAGACATCTTCTCCAGGTCCCGGGGGGGCAGGGGCGGCCGCGTGGGGGGGGCGGGGATCCCGGGGTCCCCTCGCTCCCCCTCCCCCCCCGCCGGCCTGGGGACGCGAGCTCAAAAGCTGGGCGCCGTGGACGCCCGGGTCCGCGCCGCGGGACAGGGGGCAGGGCGGGGGAGGGAGGGGGCGCCGAGGGTCCTAGTGGCCCCGCGCGGTGGGGGCCCGGGGCGCCATGGGGGCGGCGGGCGGGGGCCGGGGAGGGGGCGCGGAGCCGGCCGGGGCGGCGGCGGAGGGAGGCGGCGGAGGGGCCGGGAGGAAGGGACGTCAGGGGGAGGGGCGGGAGGGGCGGGGCCTGGAGACCCCGCCCCCCGCCGCCGGCCCTTAAAGGCGCAGGCCCGGGCGGGTCCGGGGCTCTGGGGGCGGAGGCAGGTCCGGGCGCGCCAGCGGGTTGCGTGCTGCTCACCGCAGCGCAGGGATAGACAGACCCCCGAGAGGCGCGGAGGGGGAGAGGGACGGGCCGACCCGCAGAGGCGGGCAGAGAGCCAGGAGATACGGGAAGACACAAAGACAAGGACACAAAGAGGGGACCCCCGAGGGGGAGAGAGGACAAGAGCCGCGCCCCGAGGCGGGCCGGGCCACGCGCCTGAGAGGACGCGGGCGGACAGAGAAGCCCCCCCGGGGCAGGCCCGGGCAGGGCCCACGCTCGCCCCAGCCAGGAGGTCCAGGCCGCTCCCCCGACGGAGCACCAAGGGCGTGGGGGGTCAGAGAGACAGGGCGAGCCGGTGTAGAGCTGACTCACCTTGGCCACCCCCGGAGAGTGCCACACCCCAGAGTTAGGGGCCAGAGTGTCTTCCTCCCGGGCCCGCAGCCCCGCCCGTGGGACCCCCCCAACACACCCCACGTCAGCCTCACTTTCCCAGCCTGCAGAAGGAGGGGGCCGTGTCCACACGGGCAGGGCTGCGGGCCAGCGGTCCCGGTGCACAAACCGAGCCCAGAGAGGGCAAGGGCTTGGCCAAGGCCACACAGCGGTCAGGCTGGGATGAAGGGAAGAAGGCCCAGGGGTCTCTGCCGCCGCGCCAAGTTTCACATCCTGCCTCCACTTGCGTGGGTGTGCGGAGAGCAGCCGTGTGCTGGGGAGTTTGGGAACTGGAGCTGGTTGGTAAACACAGCCATTGGAAGAACTAAGTTGCACGGATGTACAGTGAAACAAATGCTACGGAAAACAAAGGAGCCGCAAACCCATCACGCCCTGACTATCTGACTGTATCCCACTGCCGTCGGCGATCCTGGGTCACTCTCGCCCGTGTGTCTGCAAAGGGGAAGCAGTCATGTCGTCGGGGTCGTCTGGTTGCCTGCCCGGGGAATACCGACACCATGGCAGTTATCAGATGCGACAGCCGGGTCTCCCACCTCCGCCCTGCCCCGCCCCAGACACCTGGCTGAGAAGTGGCGTCCGTGGATTTGGTCCCACATAGATTGGACCATCGGCCCCATTTACAAACGAGGAAGCTGGGAGAGTGACAGGCAGCGAGTGAGTGCAGTGCGGAGGTCTGCATCCAGTGCTGCCCCAACGCGTCCAGGACATGGGCTCTTAACCCCCGGGGACAGTGGCACATCAAGGCAACAAGAACACGCTTTTTCTTTTTTCTTTAAGGAAAAAAAAGATTTATTTATTTGAGAGGCAGAGTTAGACACAGAGAGGGAGAGACAAGGAGAGAGAGAGAGAGAAGTCTTCCATCCGCTGGTTCACTGCCTAGTTGGCCACAATGGCCGGAGCTTCGCCGATCCGAAGCCAGGAGCCAGGAGCTTCTTCCAGGTCTCCCACGCGGGTGCAGGAGCCCCAGCACTTGGGCCATCCTCTGCTGCTTTCCCAGGCCACAGCAGAGAGCTGGATCGGAAGAGGAGCAGCCAGGACTTGAACCAGCACCCATATGGGATACTGGCACTGCAGGCGGCGGCTTAGCCCACAGCGCCCCCATGAGAGCACATGAAAGCGTGCCTCGGGTGGGCTTGGACCTTCCTACGTGGTGGCATCATCGCTCAGCCCGAGGAGTCTCAGGAGCGGAGGCAGACGTTTAGGGTGGGATTCTAGAAGCTTTCGGACCCCAGTCTTCCCGGTGAGCACGTTGGAGGCTGAGTCCTTGCCCTTCCCAGCGGAGAACCGCAGTTCTCCTGTAGGCCACACGGGGGCAGCAGAGCACCCCCGCTTTGTCCCCGCGTTATTCCCAGACCCGGGTCGGGAGAACAGCTCCAAGTGGATGAATCCTGAACACACAGTTTTGGGGCAGGCGTCTGGTGCAGCTGTGACGACCCCGCACTTGAGACACCTGCATCCATTTCCGGGTGCCCAGGTTCGAGTCCCCGCACCGCGGGAGGCAGCAGGTGCTGGCTGGGTCCCCGCCGCTCCCGTGGGAGGGCTGGATTGGGCTCCAGGCTCCTGGCTTCAGCCGTCGGTGGCATTTGGGGAATAAACCAGGGGATAAGATCTTTCTGTCTCTCTCTGCCTTTCAAATAAATGTAAAACTTTTAAAAATCATTTATTTATAAAATGCTTTGTTCACTGAAAATCAGACGCTTACCACATGACTCCGGTGGCATGAAATGTCCCCAGAGATGGAGCGTGGCTCTGTGGCTCCGTGGCTGCTCATAGCGATGAGATTTCCCGGGGGGCTGATGAATTAGTGGCTATGGCAGCCGCACTGAAGTCACGAAGCCCGCGCCTAAAACCGTGTATCTTACGGTGTGTGAGTGTCCAGAGAAACTAAGCAGGGCGGCCGTGGATCCCGCAGCGGTCCCTGTGCCCTGCCCCTCCCCCCACAGCCCACTGTCCTTGAGGACTTCCCCCAACTCCTGTGCCCACAGAGCTCCCGCCGCTGGGGTGGGGGAGGGGCCATGACCCCTGAACCCCAGCTTTGCCTGAGCCGGTGAGCGCCGCCCCCCCCCCCCAGTCAGGACCTTGAGAGACCGAGCAGCCACCTCAGTCGGAAAGCCGGGCTCGCCCTCGACTCTGTCCCCAGGGAGTCCTGCCCGAGGAGTGCCTGTGGGGCGCCAGGCATGCACCCGGGGCACAGAGCAAGCTTTGCCGGGGAGCTGCAGCAGGGGCGCCCGCATCAGAGCGCCAGTCCGAGCCCCCGCCACTCTGTTTCCCCTCCGGCTCCCTGCTAACGCCCCGTGGAGGGCGGCCCAGATGCTCCCACGTGGGAACCCCAGATGGAGCTCCAGGCTCCTGGCTTTGGCCTCAGCGGGCAGCCACTGGGCAGAGAACCAGCAGATGGAAGATATCTCTCATCTCTCCTATCACTCTGCCTTTCAAATAAATAAATCTTTTATAAAAATCTGCGTGGCTGAGCTGGCATGGGGGGGGGGGGGACAGAGGCACCTGCTCCTCCCAGAGGGGGCGGGTGCTGTGCAAGGAGACCTCAGTGGGAACAGGGAGGGACAAAGGAGCTGGGGGGGTCCTACCCAGGGGCCCCCACCCCCAGCCTCTGGGGCCAGCAGAGCTCCCTGCTAAAGGTCCCCCCCCCCAGCAGGCTCCCCAGGGACACCCACCCAGCCGTTTTTCAAAGGCCTGGGGCTCGGCCGGCCGCACAGGGCCGCTGTGGGCTGCCGTCCAGCGCAGGGGTCTCCCTGGGGTGCCCAGGATGGTGTTGGCACCTCGAGAGGCGCGAAGAGCAGGCGGGGCCGGCGGATTCCGGCCGGCGAGGGCGAGGGTGGGGCCCGTCCCAGTCCAACCGCAGCCTGGCCTAAAAGGGCAGACAGATAATGAGGCCTTCCCGCCCCTGGCCCAGAGAGGGAGGGGTTTCCTGACAGGAAATTGTCCTCCCCCAAGTCCCCCCTCCCCAGCAGATCCAAGCTCTTGGCAGTGCTGGCCGAGGTGGCCAGGACACGGGAGAGCAGCGGGGACAGACGGACCGTGCGGAGGACAGAGGTGAGTGTGCGGGAAGGACGTAGCCCCCCACCCAGAGACCCCTGGGAAGAGGCGCTGCCTGCAGTGGGCAGCCGGGGGCAGCTGGGCCGAGAAGCTGGGGGCTGGGCCCGGTGGGTGCCAGCCAGAGGGCAGAGAGGGGACAGGCGCAGGAGGAAGGGCGCAGGGGAGACAGCGGGGGCTCTGGGGACCACAGAGGCTGCGAGGGAGCCCGGGGGTGGGGGCCACCAAGCGAGCAGAGCCATGCGTCTCGTATCCCCCAGGTTCAGATGGGAAGGGGCTGAGCGCTTGCCATCCCGGGGCACGGGGTTTCGGAGACGATGGCAGGGAGACAGCAGGGCGCGGGGACGAGGCGGGGTGAGACGAATCTGGCTGCGCCGGGCTGGGGCCACGCAGTGCGGTCTGTGCAGAAGGACCGTTCTCCGACGCGGGGGCTGGGGCCCGGGCTGCAAGGTGGGGGAGGAGGGGCCGCGGAGGGAAGCCCTGGTGGCCAAGACATCCTGCGGGAGCCGGAGGCTGGGGGCTCCAGGGATGCCTCGGAAGTGAGTCAGGGGCCGGGCACCCGCAGGCAGGCGAGGGGGCAGGATGTCGGCGAACGTTTGCCGAGGACGCGTGAGCAGCCAGGAAGGGGAGCGCGCAGCCAGGTTTGGGGGTGCTGGGAATAGTTTGTGGGTTTTGGATCCGGTTTGGGAAAGATGCTGGCACCAGCTGGGGGTTGGGGTGGGGAGTGGGGGGGGATGTCAAATCCCACGGGAGCGACTCCGACTTCAGCAGCGACGGCCGAGCGTGCGGGAGCCAGTTCTGGGAGACGGCGGCACCGCCACCGTTGGAAGGAGGCAGGTGGAAGCCAGTTTGGAGGGCAAAGGACAAGGGCGGGCTGCTCCAGGTCAGGGGCTGCCAAGGTGACGCCACCCTGTGGGCCAGCAACTGGAGGTCCGCGGAGCAGGAGGGTTGAGAAGCGGCTGCTGGGGTGTAGACAGCGCAGTGCGTGCGGCTTCCCACAGTCTGGCCGGCTCAGGCCCCCCAACCCCCGCACACCTGTGCAACCCTGCCCCTGCCCGGCCCCTGCCCGGCCCACCAGTAGGCAGACCCGCGGACTCGGCTTTCCTGACACCAGGGCGTGGGAGTCACGTGGTGCAATAGTACACGGCACCTAAAAGCTAGAACTAGAGCCACAGGGTCCACGGAGAGACGTCTCCCGGGGCGTGAGGGGAGCAAGCACGGGCCAGAGGGCGGGACTCCATGTGCACGGAGACCAGAGACAGGCAGCGCCCTGGGCAGGCGGGCAGTGAGTGGAGACTGCGTGGGCACAGACGGCGTCCTTGGGACCAGGGAGCGGTGTCCGGGGGCCCACAGGGCACGTGCAAGGCTTGTGTCCGTAACAGAACAAAACCACCGAGAGACCCCGACCCCAACCACAGCGAACGTGTGCCTTGGGTGTAGCCCGGGTCGCGGCACGGGGCGTTCGCTGCTTCTGTTTCCACACTGTTTCTCCAGAACGGTCCCTTGCGTGGCTGCCACAGCCCGGGGAGGAAGCCCAGACCCCGGCCCTGGGCTCCGGGCCCTGTGTGGCCTGCTCCCTACTGACCTCCTGCCATTCCACTCCCCTCCTCCTCCCCACCCAAGGAATGAGCATCTTGCCTCCTTCCTTCCTCTGCTTCCTGTTTAGCACCCATTCCCCGAGTGCCTGCCCTGTGCGGGGAGCCAGGGTCACAGTGGTGACCGAGGGAGCCCCAGCCCTGGCCTCCCGGAGCTCACAGACAGTGACCACGTAGAGTGCCTGGGGGGTGGGGGTGGGAGCCGTGGGAGTCCCGAGAGCACACTTGGGAGTCAGGGAGGGCTTCCTGGAGGAGAGGGCGTGGGGCGGCTGCCAGCTCCTGCAGGGTGGGGGGCACGGGTGGCAGCAGGGTCCTCATCACCTTGGAGGTGCTGAGTGGGGGCCGGGGAGCGCGGAGGGGTAGGGGATGTGGGCAGGGAAGCTGGGAGCCGTCTGAGCGCACAGGCTCAGTGACTTGGCCGCCGCTGAGACCCGGGGCCTGCAGATACCTGGTAGGAAGTTTTGTTCGGATCACGGCAAACACAGACGCAGCCCGCAGGATTCTGAAGCACCCAGAGGCGTGCGCTTCCGTGGCACTGGAAATGTCCACGAGGCTGCTCCTCCCCCTGCCTGCCCTGCACCCCCCCTCCCCCACTACAAAGGAAGCCCCACATGCACCGGCCGCCACTCCCCAGCCCCAGGCAGGCACGGAACCCCTCTTCCCTCCTGAGGGTCTGCCTGCCGCAGGTTCGCGCTGGGTGGGGTAAAGGAAGCAGGCTCTGCCCTTGGCTGCTGAGCGACTGTGGGGTGGGGGCGCCCAAGGCCACTCACGAACCAGGTGTGTTGTCCTGGCGCTGGGCGGGCAGCAGTTGGCAGGGAAGGGTCTGAGGGTGGAACCTTCTGGAAGGCGCTGGGCGCTGCACTCAGACAGGTCTGGGTGCGAATCCTGCCTCGGTCCCCGAATCCCTGGGGGAGTTAGGCAGGTGCCTCTCCCTTCCGACCCTCGGCCACCCCACCAGCAAATCGGGGACCCAACTCCCAGGACTGTGCGGACTGAAAGGACGGCCAGGCCAGAGCCTGGTCCGCAAAGCCAGGTCCGCTCAGTGCCGCCAACACGGCCGCTGGCCACTGCCTTCCCCAGGTGCCCACCGACGCCGTCCAGATGCCCATCCTGAAGAGCCTCGGGGTGACGGAGCCCAAGGTGCCCCGGGCGGGGACCTTGCCCCTCCGGTCCTCTCGGAACCCCTTTGAGGAAGCTCCGGCGCTGGAGGATGAGGTCCGGGAGCTGGGGAGCCTGCCCTCCTGTCGCCGCCGCGCCACCCTGGAGAAGCTGGCCGGCCTGGCCCCCTTCCGGCTGGGCTGGTCCCCAGGCCGGCGGGCGGGCAGCCCCGGGGACGGGCAGCCCCGCTCCTTCCTGGGCCGGGTGCTGGCCCCAGGGCTACGGAGGAGCTCGGCGGACTTCGGCCTCCTGGCGCGGCTTCAGGGCAGCCGAGGTCACAGCGGCGGCGGCGGCGAGGAGGAGGCGACCGGCGAGGCTGCCCGCAGGCTGGCCTTCCTGCGACTGGGACGGGGGCCCAGGCCCCAGCGGGCTTCCCTGGCCGAGAGGGTGGTGCCTGCGGGTGAGGCAGCTCCTGAGCCCCCGCCCAAGGTCCCAGAGCCCCCCAAGATGAAGGAGCCGCTGTCAGGTGAGTGGCACCCCCGGCCCCACCAGAGACCCAGGCCATTGGCATCTCCCACCTCCTTCCTCCTACCCGCCCCACGCCTCACCACACCCCTCCACCTGCAGCTCCAGGTGCTCCCCTGCCCCAGCCCCTCCCTTCTGCCATCATCAACCTCACCCCAGTGAGCCCCAACTGTGGTCCCGCCTCCTCCAAGCCCCACTCTCCACCCCAGCCTAGCTCAGCCCTAACCCCTTCTTCCTGTCCATCCCACTTGGAACCTGGACCCCAACCCTAAGCCTCCAGCCCAACTTCCACCTTCAACTTCCTGTCTCAACCCATGTCCAGTCTTGACCTTTAAACCCTCCCGTGCCCAACCTCTGCACCTTCACCCCCAAATCCATCCCTGGCCGTTCCAGAACGCCACGAAGCGGGTGGTGGTAAAACCCTTGCCTCTGAAACACAAGATCACGGCCACGGCCCCCAGCCACCTGCCGGCCACCCTGCCCTGCCTCTCCCTGGCTTCTGGCACCTGCTGTCTTCTGTCACTTTCTGTAGGGCACAGAGGGATCTGGGTCTGCCCTCTGACCTCACTCACTTGTAGGTGGGATGGGGGTGAGGACTCCACGTGTTTCTTTTCTGGGGGAGGGACACGGCTCCCCTCACAGCACCCCACTTCCATCCTCAACCCCATTCCCACCCACACCCTGATGTGGTTCTCCGTGTCTTTTCTGGACTGTCCCCAGCCCAGCCCCCTCCTGCCTCCCCTTGGGCCCCTCCTACTGCTCCTCCCCCCCCAGCCCCACTCCTGCCTCCTGTTCTCAGTCCCCTCCTGTCCCCATTTTCACCTCCACCGCCAGCACCATCACAAGTCCCCAGCCCCCTCTACTGACCCCCACCCCAACCTCACCCTGACCCTGACCGTCTCCCCTCCACCCCACCCTCCCCAGCCCCGCCTCCACTGCCTCGCCCCGCCCCATCTGCACCTCCCCCCACCCAACTCCCCGGGGACCTCGCCAGCGCCCCCTCTGTCCTCCGATGCCCTCTACATCCTGGCCAAAGGCTATTTCAGCCCCAGCTCCCGGGGGACTGGGAGGGCACGGCAGGGGGGTGAGCAGGGGGTGACGGGAGCCCCCGCCTTCTGGAAACGGATGGGCAGAAATAGCGCCGGCCAGGAAATCGCTCCTCTGCCAGGGAGGAAGCGGAGGGGGGTGGAGGTGTGGAGGGTAACCCTGGGCCGTGGGACCACCCCCCCATTCACATGAGGCCTTGCATTGGCCCATTCCCGGGGTAGCCTTGACCTCGCGGGAGGGCCACTGATGACCCCAGCTTTGGGCTCCCTCTCCGCTCCCATCTCCAAGTCTCCAGCTCGCCCCCGCCCCCATCCCTGAACCCCTGTCCCGTTCCCGCCCCAACCCCTCAATGTCCCAACTCCCTGAAACCCTCGGCTCCCCTCCCGCCTCCTCCCCACGTCTGGGCTCCCCTCCCCCACCCCTCTTCCTCGCCAGCCCGGCGTCCTCCGCCCCCCCCCCCCGCTTCCTTCTTGCCCCCTCCTCGGCCCCTGACCTCCCGCTTCGCCCCCACAGTGCTGGAGATCCTGAGCCTGATCCAGCAGCGCGAGCTCGCGCGGGCCGATGAGCACATCTTGGAGCTGGAGGCCGAGGAGCTGGCGTCGTCGGGGGGCGGCGCCCCGGGGCCGCCCAAGGCCGAGGGCGCGGGCGGAGGTCGCCGCGCGCGGGACGTGGCGCTGCTGTACGAGGCCCTGCAGCGCGAGCTGTGGGCGCTGGTGCGGGAGACGCTGGCGGGCCCCGGGCCGGGCGCGGGCGCCGGGGCGGGCGCCGTGGCGCAGCTGGGCCAGGTGCTGGTGCAGGAGGAGGCGGCCGACGGGCGCCGGGGGCCCGCGGCGGCCCGCAAGCTGCGCGCCCGCTGGGCCGAGGCCGTGGCGCGCGCGGCGCGGGAGCGCCTGGAGGCGGCGGCGCCCGGGGCGCCCGGGGGCCTGGCCGGGCAGCTGGAGGCGCTGCGGGCGCGGCTGCTGGAAGATATGGCCGTGGTGCGGGGCCGCCTGGCGCCCGCCTACCCCGCCGGCCTGGGCGCCTTCGGCGTCTACCTGCGCGGCTACCACGGCGCGCTGGCCGAGTGGCTGGGGGCGTCCGCCCGCCGGCGGCTGCCGCTGGCTGACCGCTACGCGCTGCTGCACTGGCACAACCAGGTGTACCCCAGGTGAGCGGGACAGGACGCCCGAGGGCGCGCCGATCCCCAACCCCACGCCCCAGCTGCCTCGGAGCCCAGGGACCTGGGACCAGCTCACCACGGGCCCTCCCCGCCCCCACAACCCTAGACTCTCAGGACCGCCCACCCTGCCTGAGCGGCTCCGACCTTCCGGTCCCTGGCAACTCAGCCAGGCCAGCACTTAACACTGGGATTCAGCACCTGTGGGATCCGCCCACACCTGGGCCCTGAGCGCCAGGCTCCCAGGATCTCAACACTGACCCCCGCAGCCCGAGACAGTGAGAGGGAGAAAGGACCGGGGGGGGGGGGGGTTGCACAGGGAGCTCAGGCCAGGTATCCAGTGTGGGTGGCGGGAATCCCGGGGCTGGGGCCATCACTGCTGGTCCCGGGGTCTGCATTAGCAGGAAGCTGGGGGCAGGAGCCAGAGTCGGGGACTGAACCCAGGAAGCCACTGCTGCCTCTCAGGACTCTGCCCCCCCCCCCCCAGCCTCACTTGCTGCCTGCAGATCCTAGGGCATTGTTAGCGATGCCAACCCTTCTAGGTCAGGACCTAGGAGTTTCTAGCGACTTCTGCCCCAGGGCCTTAGTCCTGGCGCGCCTGTGCAGCCCAAGGCTTAGGCTTAGGCTCATCCTCTCTGGGGATCTCACAGCCTGGGCGCTGTAACTGTAGCATTCACTCCCCTCCTCCTGGGTCCTGTAACTCCCATGCCTGCCGCCAGGGGCTGGAATTGGGTGGAGGGAGTTGGCCACACCCAAATCACAGGTGGAAGGGTGACGAGGGTGGGTGGTTCCCCCAACAAAACCAGGCTGCTGTAAATCACAGAGCCGCCACGTGGGCATGCAGGCCACGACGCTCTCCCGGGATGAGGCCACGGCCTAGGTGTGATCTGTAGGGAGGTGGTGTTTCTCACCGGTCCAGATGGAGGTGGGCGGAGGGGGCAGCAGCCAGGACGGTGCACGGGCCAGGACAGGCACTGGAGTGGGAGGGGGGCGCGGGCGCACTGAGGCCAGGTGCGGCAGGCAGGGCCTAGGAGCGGAGGCGGGCAGGAGCGCCCCCCGGGGCTGGGCCTCGCCTGTCAGACGCCCAAGCCCTGCCCGGACACCAGCCCAAGCCCTGCCCGGACACCATCATCACGGAGCTGACTCAGAGGCCTGGAGCCAGGGGAGCAGTGGG